GGTTTTAAAAGCAGGCATAGGTTTTCCTTTGTTGTTATCTGCTGTTTTTCTTGACAAAGTTCATTATATTTGATTAAGATAGAAATCTTGCTTACAATTCCATATATAGGAGTCAGAGAGACAGACCTGTTAAAGCTACACAAATGATTATAAGTATTTTTTCTTCCAAAACACATCTCAAATCAACATCGAAGTTAGGAGCTTTTAGGAACTCAAACAGATCTGATACCATGGGAAATAATTATAAAGTTTGTTAGGGTTCAGGGCTATTTTTTGCTGTTGGTTGAATGCATTTGATGCTAGAATATAAGAGCAGCCTACAGATTTGTCTACACTTTAGTTACTGTGATATGTCAGTGCATTTTTTAAAAGAAATGTTATTAAATTGTTATTATGGAATAGAAACTACTTATGTTATGGACTTAGATGATACCAGTACCTAGCTGATACTAGGTATAATTTAATTTGAGCCATCTTCTATGCTTTTTTATGATTTGTAGCTGTTTGGTTTTGAGAAGCATTTCTAGTTTTATGTGTTGCATTTGGTTTATCTTAGAAAAATAGAAAGGAAACAATGAAATATAATTTTTTTTTTTAAGATTTCATAGCTGAAAAGAGAGAAGGGCATAACTTTTGTCAGCATTCATGGATAAAGATTAGTAACCCTCCACAGTTCAGGAGTTCAGAAACCATTTCAAATTTGTTTATGCTTATGAATTTATTTAATCTAAATTCAAAATGGGATTCTTTTGAAGGAAAATCATTGAGAAGTAATCTGAAGCTCTTAAAAAGTACATGAAAAGGGAAAAGATCTCAGAAGTTAAATTACTACCCTACCCTCTGGATGTTTGTCTGATATTTTTTTCTTGAAATTGCTATTTGCAGCTTTTATTTTCACCTCTTCTCTCCATTTCTGTTCTTTTACCCCCTTACTTTTTGTTGGATTCTTCTTGCACTTCATGTATTCTGTTTCACCTTGCCTTTGCTCTATCTATAGTAACATAACTTGAAAGAGAATTTATCTGGAAATATCACTTCACTGAAATTATTGTATCATTTGTCAAGAAAATTACCTTGTTAGGTAACTTGAGAGATAGCTCAGTGATTTATTAAAAAATAAAATTACTATGAGGTAAAAAATACTTATTTTTCATCTCTCAACTTTTTCTATGTTTTTTATAATATCAGTACCACTAAATATGCAAAACATTGAGCTTATATTTGGTGACCATTTTTTTTTTTTTTTTTTTTTTTTTTTTTTTTTTTTTTTTTTTGTGATGTTATTTTTTCATTTCCTGCTTCATGCTCTGTTTTTATCCATGTTGCATTGTGGTATTCTGGGTCAGGCAGTTCATCTTTCTCAGGTTTATGTGTGTTGGGAAAGTTCTGAGGATTAGTCCCTTAACTGGGGGAACCTCAATTGAGCTGTGCCTTAGAAGATTATAATTGCTTTATCTAAAGATTGTGTGCTGCCCTTGAGCTGCCTGTTTATGTGCACACAGACACTTCCCCACATTTAGGACTAAATTTTTCCAAAAACACCCTTGAATGGTGTGAGTGTACCAATTCTCATTCTTTGTTTATAATTCATTCCATGTAAGTGCATGCAGATAAGTCACAATTCCCTTCAGGATAGCCACAGCTTGGGAAGCATTTACTTGCTCCAGCAAGGATTTGAGAGTATGGTTACTCAGATGAAAATATATTGGCATTTCTATTAAGATTGTCATTATAAACTATTAAGCTAAAATTGCTAATCATGCTAATGTTGAGACTCATTGCTAGATAACTGCTCAGTCGTTAAAATATTTTAAAAGGGATGTTTTGCATCCATATAAAAAAGTTGCAGTATTACATGTGTTTTTTATGTTTTTGCCTGCAGAGTGTTAAGGAATTTCTTCCATTGTGCCTCATCCCTTTGGGAACCGCTTTTAAAAAAAATCCAACCAATCCCCCCAAAAAACACAACAAAACCACATGAAACATTTACATTCAATTTCTTCATTGCGATATAATTTGTGTATATCCTCTAATATGTCATTTTGTGGAGTTGGACTTTTTGGCTTTCCTTTTCTGTAGCTATCCCAGATTTCTCATGGTTTTCTTCATAAATGTGTTGGGATACTAAAAGCAAACTGTGGTTAAGGACTGACACACAGAAAGTGCAGCATATGCTTGTAGTTTTTTCATTTCATGTAGCAAAAGTTTAATTTTTTACTTAGTTTTGTGAGGGCAAAGCACAAAATGCGCTTAAATATTTGCTTCTACAGCTTCAAGGAAAAATTCCTGTCAGTAGACACTTTATTTCTTTGTCATTGAGTTTCTTGTAGAGAATGTTGCTGAAATGTACATTAAAAAAAAAAGTAAGAACTGAAATCTTAATGAATAATTCAATAAAATAACATTCAGTACTTTTCATTTCTGAGCTGCCCTTGTTACCAAATGTTTCTACTATTGCCCATCTTATGCTTCTCTAGTTTTTTCTTATATGTGGGGATAAATCTTAGTTTAAAATTATTTCACTGAGGCAAAAATGTAATTGAAACACATTGGGATCAATACAAACTATATAAGAAGCCATTAATTATTTTTCTAGCCCGCTAGGTACTGATATCTAATATCACTGGTATCTCATAAAATACTATAATTTTTCTTTTGATGATTAAGTATTTCAACACAAAAAGAAAACCATGTTTTCCTTTTCCATGTATTTCTTTTCTGTATGAAGAATGTTTTGATCCTTTCAGTTTTTTACTCTCAAACTCATCAGTCATGAACTTTTGTATCAGGTGAGCACAGAGTGGTAATATACCTATGCCTTTATAATAAAGGAAAATAAAGGTAATGCATTGAATTAGAGTAGTTATTTTACATAAAAGGCCTTTTTCATGCTTGAAAAATGAGGGCTATGTTTGTAAAATTTTCAGCAGGTGACTATCATGCTGATTAAAGCCGGGCATCTGAGAATGTTCAAATGTGCATGGTTTTGTTTCAGTTGTTATAAGGCTTCCCTCTCAGAGTAGAAAATTTGTATTACTTCCCTTTTTAGATTCTAAAGACAAAGATTTTTGGCTCAAATGGACACTCATTAGTGTTTCACATTGCAAGGTGTGTTCTTGGTACTATGCAGATAGTACAGGAGTAGTGGGAACAGCGACACGAAGTTCACAGTTGCATTTGAAATGTTTTCCCCTGGATTGCCCTCCTGCAGTGGGTTGGGATGCATTCTTATTTTTGGGTTCTCTTACCCCTGTATGTAGGAAGGTGAGCTCAGATGTGTTGCCAGTTCAGTTCTGGTTTGATTTGCCCAGTGCTGGACCCAGCTCAGTTCAGTTCCAGTTTGGGTCAAATGGGTTTGCTGTGACCAGCTGGGTTTTCATGGGACAAGATGTTTAAAGCTGGAACCAGCCAAATGTCAGGGAGGTACTCCCAGCACAGAGCTCTGGGAAGGTGACCTTTGCTTCTCTGTATCAGCCCAGGCATCAGGAGCATTTCCAGTCTTTGACTGTGTGCTTGAGATTGTAATTCTGCACCAAAGAAAAGTCTGGAGAGACTCCCAATGGGGTGTGCAGGGAGGGGGGCAGGAGCCCAGCAGTGGCTCAGGGGTCTGGGGCTGGTTCTGGTTGTGGGTGAGTGGGAGATGGGATGGGGAAGCTGGGGATGGGGCAGGGGGAGATGGGATGGGGCAGGGGAGGATGGGATGGGGCAGGGGGAGATGGGATGGGGCAGGGGGAGATGGGATGGGGTGGGGCAGTGGGTCAAGGCTGGGACTCGCTGCTGCTCTGCAGATCCGGCGAGCACAAACCCTCCCTGCAGCCAGCGGGGCTCTGCTCAAAACTGTCAGCGTTCTGCTCAACCATTTGTTCTGCATTGGCAACCAGAAATATTTTTTTTGGTTCAGTTTCCATTATAGCTCAAAGTATATAGCAATCAATATGAATTCTGATTTCATTTTGATTTATATCCAAAGACTTGATAAATGTGCAAACTGTTATGAAAAGGGAGAAAAAAAAATGTGTGCATGGCTGCCCACTCTGTGTATTGCTAATGAGTCTGGACCTCGCTTTGTGATGTAAAATATGTGAAAATATCCATGTGTACCAGTGTCTGATAGAGCAAAGAAATTAAAGGCACAGTTTGATTTTGGCTTTGTTTGATTTTGGCTTGAACAACATATATGAATGTTCAGGTAGATTAAGAGAAAACTAGGAGTCTCTTCCATAGTTAAAATACTCTGAAGTATAAAGAACTCTGAGTAAAACCTTAGAAAGGGTATAATGTCAATTCCCAATAGAATATCTGCGGCAAACCCCTTTATGAATTAAATGGTTCAGGTAGCTGTGTTTTGGTGCAACCGTGTTTTTTCATATCAGATGATAATGGTGAGGAAAAATAACTACTTCAAGGAGTTCTGGATATTGTTAAGAGGGCAAAAATACTACTGAATTGCTGCCATTCAGTAAATGTTACTTCTGTAATTGCAGAAAAATCTTGTGATAATGTACCATTTTATGGTATTAGTTCAATCTGCTCAGTAAACAGACCTCGTCTATATTTTTCTTATTGTTTATAGTTGATGTGTAATTTAGAAATTCATTTTTATGTCAGTTTCTTGAAATCAATTGCATTATTTGGGAATATCTCCTATTTACTGTTAAGGAAGATTTGAAAGTGGCTCCTACGTGTGAAATCAACTTTATTTTTGTTCTCTTAAAAATAATTTCAGAATAGGATCTACAGGAACTGAACACTAGTGAAAAAAGAGACATTTTTATTTATTTATTAATAGGTGAGCTGTTTTTAGGGTTTTGTGTCACCAGCAGTGGGTACTGAGGGTTTAAAAAACCTGGTCCTTTATTTCTTTTTGAAAATTGGAATAATTTATTTCTATTCAATGAAGTATGAGAGCAGATAAATTTCACAATGCTCAATCTCTGGTTTTGTGCCAGGTTATAAAGTTGTTATCCATTATTTCAAAAATGCACCTTTTTTTTTTTCAGCGTCTTGTTGAAGCTGCAGAAGAGGCTTACCTGAAACATGAATTTGATGCTGACTTACAGGTAGTAAATAATTACTTTCTTGAATGTTTATCATCAGAGTATATCTAATGGTTTATACAGTAGCTTGCTTGAAGAGATGCTGTAGAAAGTCAAGCATGTGTGTAATAGAAGGATGCTGATTACAGAAAAAGACATAACCAAGGCTGGCTCAGTATTTTGACAGGTTATGTACTCAGAGCTTGTGTGTTGGGACACCAAGCAGGTGGCTTTTACTCTTTCAGAGATTTCATTTAAATTCCCTTGCATATCTGTGCAGATCACATTTTTAAATGCAGAAATTAGCCTCGTGTTGTGCCCTGCAGTGAGGAACTGCTCTGCAGAGAGTCCAATTTGCAGATGGGGTGGCACCCACAGGGATGGGATTAGCCTGACCTTGATTTGTACAAGGGGTTTGTGTTTTGATCTGTCTGGAGCAGACGCTGCTTTTCCTCCTTCCTAGGAGCCCTTAGAGCTGCACCACTGCTCCGTGGTGCCTTTAGGCATAACACGGGAGGGAGCAGCACCGTGGCAGCACACATCTAAAAATGTTTAAAACAAAAGCCTTTTCCTGAATAAGACACATAATTAAAAAAAAAAAAAGTTGATTTTAGAAACTGAGTAATTTAACCTGACATTAAGAGTTTAACAGAAAGTCTTACTCAATGCTTAGATGAGTAAATGCCTCCTTACCTTTAATAGAATTCCTAGATCCATGGTTTCTTGAATGACATGTTAGGTGGAGTTTTGTCTACTTTGCCTCTACATAGCTTCAATTTAAAAACCTTCTGTGAATATTGCCATAAGCCTATTTAAATCTTGGGCTTAAAGAATTAAAGGAAACAGAGACTTTTTCCATAGACATTTTCCCCATATGCATATCTAAGAAATAAACTGATCTGTTAAGTTTTGTTTTCATATTTTGCCATGATTATTTCCAGTAATCACAAACCACTTTATTTTAATGACAATATGATGCAAATTAGTGATTTCTGTGCAGAAAGGAACAACATAAAATGGAGTCAACTTATTAGAACCAAGCATTAAAAAACTGAGTTTAGAAGGCTGTGATACTGAGATCTGTCAGTTCAGAATGGAGTAAGGATAAAATGAGCCCACAGAAAATGATAATTTACATTGTTGTATATTCGAGGAGTGATGGGTTATCTATTCAAATGCTTTAGAGATCTATTATACTGCAGCCTTGCAGGGGCGTGCTGCGTTTCATTTTGTTGAACTTTAAGACTTGGAGAAATAGGAACTATTGTCCGAATAAATCAGAAACACACTTTATAGAAGATGTTTTAGAAGGCTGTAGTAAATGCTTCTTCACTGCAGGACAGCTCTCCCTTTGACAAAGTCCTTCATTTGCCGAGGCTCTGGCGATATTAACACTTTCAGGAAGCCAGTTAAAAGCCATTTGTGTCAGCAGCATTAACAGGACAATCAAATCTTTGTGTGGAGCTCTGTTGTTTATTACTGTCACGGTCCATTAAAGCTAATCAATTGTTAATCTTGGTTTCAGCGACCCCTTTGCAACCCTTCCTGGGTGATTGTTGTTCTTTATCAAAAATCTCATAATACCATCTGCTCGATAGAAAGTAATGGCCACGATGATTTGATTGTGTACATTCAAGTGGAAGGGGACAGAAGGCTTATATAATGTACAGTGTATACAATTCTGCTAGCAAAGAGGAATTTTTTGGCATTTGTATTGCTTTGGCCAATGTGTGGAAGACGGGATTAAATGCTTTGAATTAGTGATATGTGATACAGCACCAGCTTGTGCTCTTTGTGCTCAGATACTCTGGAAATTCAGAAAGCACATAAAGAAAGTGGTTTTCTTGCTTTGGAGAATGATAATAAAGAGGACAGCATCTTCTTAGAGATGCTTTATTTGTAAAAAAAATACAAATTATTTATAATTATTGTTAACTGAAATTTGACCTCCTGATCTTTTACTAGCTCTGTGCTTGTGAGTGTGTTTTGTAAGATGTGAACTGCCTTGTTATGGTTCAAAGAAACACTGTGGTGGATTTTGTCTTCTGTGTCTTGAGGACAGCATAGATAATATTGTTTTAGTACATAAAAATGATGGAAAGGAGAAATAAAATAATATTAATATTTTTATTGACTGTGGAAGAGCACCAACTTAAAGAAAATAATAACTGTAAGAGTTCACCTTTTAGACTCCTGGTATTCTCTTCAGCAATGCTGAAACTGTATTACTTGGTTAGACTAAACCTGATCCCTTCTAGGCATTTTTCTTAGCAACATTATTAGTTTTGTCCTTAGTTATTCCATAAGTATTCTAATCAATACGATGTAATTCTGTGTAATGGTCTAAGCACTCCACTATCTATCCCTGGATTGAATCTATTGGCACCACTGACCTTGTAGTTATAAACATAAATAAAAATCCCAGAGAATTGAAAGGAATAAATCAAAATATGTGATGTGATGTTTAACTCATCAGCATTATGCATTGCATGTTTGAGTAATGGCCAAATTGTGAATCAGTGAAAGCAGACCTTAAAGATTTACCTTGCAATATTTGGGGTTTGGGAGATTTTTTTTTTTTCTGTTAGGGATGTGAAATTGTAAAGAAATAACCATCTAAATGTTACTTATATTTGAGTCTCAGTCCAGGGTTTTCTTACCTCATGGGTATGGGTGCAAGTCATTCTTTGTTTTTAAATATTATTTTCAAGTTTATAAGTGGAATTTCTTTAGTCATGCCTAATACATTTGGGGATGTAAAATAAGTTATTACAGCGAGTTGCCCTGTCACAATATATTCACAGGTGTAAAGAATTGCTTCCTTTATATGGGAATGTCTCTGTGCTCACCTTTGTTTAAAATGAAGCTATTCCCCTGATTTTGGCCCTTTAACATAATGGAAACATCCTCAGCATAAAGGTCAACTGCCATTCTCATATACCAAACAAGAGGACAAGAGAATTGGCTCTTGTAGGTTTTGAAGTGGTTCTACGGCCATCTTTTAGTTTTCTTGGCTTAGCAAGAAAACGGGAGAAAGATAATAAAGAGGTCATCATCTGCTAGGAGATGGTCCATTAAAAAAAAAATTGTAATTATTGGTAACTAAAATTTGGCTTCTTGATCTTTTACTACCTTGTGGGTGTGCTTCCTAAGCTGCAAACTGCCTTGTTATAGTTCACAGAAACACTGGTGGGTTTGGTGTTCAGACCCCTGGCAGAGGCTCTGAAGTGGAAAACTCTTCCCTGGAGCTGCGACTTATCTAAGAATTTGTTGCATCTGCAGCTGATACAACCACATTGGTTTAGAGGCTCTCTCCTCCCGCCACACCTCATCAGAGCACTGCAAAGGGGATTTCAAGGGTACGAGTGCACCAAGGCTCTCGATTTCTCTTGGGGTTCTGATGCTCTGGGTGACCCCAGAGGTGAAAAAGAGTCTTTGCTTCCCTTAGCTCGACACAGCCAAAGAATGAGACTGGAATGTTTCCAGTTGTGCTTTCAAGGTTGTTTATGTCTTCTTATCTAAATATTCTTTCTCTGACCTGCTGAGCTCTGGCTAGCAAGGAGGCCACAGCATTCTGTCCTCGAGCCTTGGGTGGCTCCCACCTTATATACTCAAAACTAGGTGTCTATGTTTACAATTTCTTTACCAATTCCCAACACCCAACTGTGAATCTCTGCCTTAAACCATTAGAAAACTGTCACCATCACACCAAGACGTGGAGGACAATACAAAGGAGAAGAAGGCCAGGTCATGCCCAAATTCCTCCATCTTGTATCCCCTTGAACCCCATTCTAAAAATCCCTGAATTCTACTTTTCCACCCTGTGTTAGTTCAAATATCACACCACTAAAACCTTTGTGATTTGTAATTCCTCATACAAAATTGGCAGCTTTTCCCACAGGCTAAAATTGAAGCCACACGTGTTTTAGAATTTATGTCAGGGTCTCTGAGACCCCTGCCGGGGTCTCAAGACAGCCAGGGCAGCCAGAGGGATGTGCTGGACTCCCACAACAGGCAGCTGCTGCACTTCTGCAGCCACAGGGCTGGGGTGGCTCCTTGTTGGAACTCAAAATGTCCCTCATATTTTTGGATGTTCTGGGTCCAGGTCAGAGGCATTTGAGACCCTGGCAGGCAGCTGGAAACAGTGATTTTGGATTTGAACCGTGGGATGATTTACCAACCTTGCAGGAAGAACAAGAAGTCACAAAAGTTTTGATATTATAGTAGAAGTAGTCACAAAGTAAAGGGAAGAATTTTTGAGTGCTGTACAGGGGGGTTTTAAGTCTTGTTCAGGGGTGTTTTGGTTTTGTACATGGGGGTCAGAAGTTTTAAGATGGAGGGATTTGTGCCTGTTCTGTCCTCCCTCTTTCTTCTTCCTTACCTCCATGTTCTTGGTGATGTTGGCACTCATTGATTTAGAGTAGAAAAGCACTATTTAATATAGGTAATAGGCATTGGGGAAAAACTGTAAACATGTAACACGTAATGTACCATATAAAAGATGGCACCAGCCCTGGGTGAGGTGGGAGAAGAAGAAGACAGCAGATAGAGAGGATGTCAGGGTGTGTGTGTGCCTCTGCCTGAGCTGCTGAGCAAACCACAGCAGCCAGAGAAGAAAATCTTTTAGATAACTTGCAATAAACAACTTTGAGACTGGACAACAGGAGAGTACTGAGTCTTTCTTTGAAAGCACGAGTTGGAGGAGAGACTTTTCCAGCACACGGAGCCACCCCTGACCCAGGGTGAGCTCTAGCAGCTCCTGAGCCCTCTGCTCACTGTGTCACCTTCACTGAGCTCTGCACACAACCCTGTGCTGTCACCACCTGCACAGAGCCAGGGCAGGATCCCTCTGGCAGGGCTGGACTCCTTCTGGGTTCCCATAATCTCAGGAGGTGGGTGGTGAGACTGGTGCTGGGCTTTTCTCAATGCAGCAGTAGTAATAATAACTTGTGCTTTTTTTCTTGCAAGCACAAAAACCCCATTAATTTTAGAAGAAAGGTTTGTAATAACTTAGTTCCTACCCA